GAGATAAAAGAAGAATGTCGGAGATTTATTCGTCAAGTGAAGACAGCTTTGTTTTAAAGAACTCAAAGCAAGACAAAAGTAGAAGTAAAATAAGATCTCCTACAATTACATCATTTGATAAATCTACTTCAAACAGGAAAAACTCAACTCTAAATTCTAACTTTCAAGAGGTATCACGTGAAAGAAATTGTATGGAAAATGAAAATTTCAGTTCATTTATTATGCCTACTACTTCCAGTAACAGAAATGCAGGTTGGTTTTTTTTAATTAAAATATTTGATTAATAATAATATTTAGCCATAATTATAAGTTTAGAATGCACTTTTGATCAATTAGATTGTATTTGTAGTTTATTTTCATATTTGAGACCATTTTAAATATATACATATACTCTTAAAGATGTGATAAATCAACTATAGAACTGTATTAGCCGTATTAAAATATTATTTAAGACAGTTTTAAATTAAATCTATAATTTTATCTATAAGTATATTAACCATTAGCTTTTAAACTAAAATATATAAACAAAAAAAGTTAAAAGAATAGAAATAGCTCTAATTTTATAATTTAGAAAATTTTTTTAATATTACATTTAAAAATTTGCAACAAACACATGCTAAATGTGCATTAATATTTTATAAAAATATTTGCAATTAAATGTAATTTATTATAGATCATTTAATATAATTAACAATATTAGTGATAGAGGATGAATAAAAATCCTTAAAAATTAAAATGATAATCTTAATTAATCTAATACTAAATATTCAAAATTCAGAATTAATTATTTACAGATTATGATTGTTTTAATAAATTATTAGAGATAACAAAGAAATTATTGGTTAAAATATTATTTTTATTATAACAATATTGTTATAATATACTGACACAATAACTTTGTCTATTTTTAATGTATTCCTCTTTAATTATATATAGTCACAATCGTTCTTACAAGTTAAAGCAAAACTTCTATTTTTTTTATTGCAGATGAATCACTGCATTTGTTAATTTTGAAAAAACTTAGGAAACTCGATTATATCCAAAATAATGTTATTATACTTGATATACAAGAAGTATTAAGTTATGTAAAACCTGAAAGATTTGAAGTTCAAGAAACAAATGTCCCAATAACACTGCCAATTGACAATGACACACAGCTTAATGAATTTGAGCAATACATTTCTATTACTGAAAATTATAAGACCATGGTAAGTGTTTCATTTTTTTCATCTGGTTTGAATTTAGTGGGAGACTTTCATTAATTTAATATTGTGTACTTTTTTAGATATCAAAATTTAGTCATATTGGAGGTAATGGTGCTGCAGGGATTACTAGAAAAATAATGAAAAATCTTATAACGTCTAAGTTTGCGATTAATTTTAATTGGGGAGGAAGGGTTCCAAAGAGGCCTTTTAAAGAACTTAAATCAATGCATTTGCTTCTTGGTATGTTTTAGAATGCACTTTTGATCTGTTTTAGAATGCACTTTTGAAAGAACTTTGTTTTATGATTTTATCTTATTTTTTTAATTCTCTTAATTTAGCTGCTTTTTCTTTATAGATTCTGTACGTAAAGCACTTCCTTCGGCGTCAACGCAAGAAATTGAATCAGCTATTTAAAGATTGGCTGAAACAAGCCAAGACGAGAGTTAGGTTGCATAATTCCTAATCATTTCTTCCAAAGATATATTACACATATATTTTTATTTTATTATTAGTAAAAGACATATATATTACACATATATTTTTTTATTTTGTTATTAATCAAAGATATATATTACACATACATTTTTATTTTATATGCTAGTCTTTACTTTAAAAATATCTTTTATTTTGTGATTATTATTTATGCGAATACATAACTTTCTGTAATAACTTGTGTATAACTCCTGTTTCTGCAAAATTTAATACATTTACTTGTCAATACATTCTACTTTTCATTATAATATGTATTCATTATAATATGTTTTATTATCATATGTAATTCAGTAAACAATTATTTTAAATAAAATAACATTTCATTAAAAAATTAATATTTTTCCAACTCCAATATAAACAATATTTAAGTGTACATTTAATTTGTATTAAAGAGGTTTCTAGGTCAGTATTTATAGTAAGATCTTATATTTATGATCGTCTTAAAATCTCATTCGCAGACAATGAAATAGCAGTATTAGTGTTATTTCATTGGTTGGGTGAGATCTTAAGACAATCTTAAACATAAGATCTGACGAATACCGCCCTAGATATATTTTTAAACAACGTTTACTTTACAACGTTTTTTTAACGTCTTTTTTACTAGTTTAAAAAACCGTTTTCATACGAGACATTTTGACTGGTTAATAAATGTATTTTTATACATCACAAAAACGTTTCGGCTAAACGTTTTTAAAACATTTATTAAACGTAACTGTGCTGCTTGGGTAATGAGTTATTCAATTCATTAACATGCATTTGTACTTAATCTGTATTAAATCAATTAGTCGATTATTAAATTTGTTTATTTAACATATTTTAGCAGATGTTTGCTGCAATCGATGGACTCGTCTGAGAGAATCTTTCTCTAAAAAAAAGAAAAAAAGACAAAATGAAACAAAAAGTGGAAGTGGAGCCTCTAAAAGAGGATTTGTTTATTTCGAGTCAATGAAATTTATTGACACTGAAATTTATCAAAACTAGAAAGTAAGAATCCATTTTGATTTTGTATTCTTATAAGCGAGATAGGGTGAATGGCCATATTACTGGCAGTGTACATATTACTGTCAGTAAATATTTAAATGATTTTTTAAATCTAACTATAAATGTTACATTATTTAAAAAATGTTTACAAATTTTTAAAACATGTTTTAAAACATTTCAAAACATTTTTTAAAATAATGTAACATTTATAGTTAGATTTTAAAAAATTAAATATTAACTGACTAATATGTACACTGCCAGTAATATAGCCAATCACCCTATTATACAGTAGAATGTTATAATTTTTAAGAAATTAAGATGAAGACCATAAATAATAATATTAACAAATTATTAACATTTTATCACATTCTTTTAAATTTCCACAAATTTAATGAAATATATGGTTTCAGTTCGATGACTAACATCAAATTCCAAAAAGTGTCTCCTACTTCTGATTGTTCGAAAGACAAGAGTGTAAATAAAGAAATTGCGAATTGGATACAGCAAGGCAAACAGACTTTGGAAAAAGAAAGAACTGCATTGGAAGAAATTGATACAAATATATTTTCTCCATTAAAAAAAGTTTCAATGCCGGAAACATTATCCACTACCAGTAATTTTGACGATGCGTCATGCGCATCTTTTTCATTGACTTCATCAGAAAGCAATACAAACGATTTCGTACATGAATCATTGTCAGCTCGGTCATCACTCATCACGATTAACTCTTCACGTTTTTCTCCAACAGCAAGCATAAGATCTACCTGCACTTTTAAAAAGCCATCATATATGAAGGGCAAATTTAATCTAAATATATCAACTGAAAAAGACGGTAAAAAAAAAGAATCTGAAAATGATGATTTCGAAGAATCTTTTGTTAAGTTGAATAAAGCAGTCGTAGAGTATTTAAAGTCTAAAAAATATGATGTACAAGTGCAGAATGATCCAGATACTTCATTTTGTAATCTGATTATGGCGGAATTGAAGCAATTAGATGATAATATAAAACAGATAAAAAAACAAGATATCATGCAAATTTTGTGGAGAAAGGAAAATTTGTGATAATATAATTTATATTCATACGTATAATGAATAGCAAAAATATTCGAAACATATTCAGAGGACATCTAATAAATGTTTAACATCCTGTGACTATCCTCGGAACGTCTTTCGAACATTTGTGCTGTTTGATAATATGCTTTAAGAATACTGTGCTTTAAAAATACTAAGACTTTAGTTAAGTTTTATAATGATAAAATATATATTGAAATATAGCTTTAATAATATAATATAAAAAATATATTATAAAATATATTATAAAATAAATAATTAAATATATATGGATACTGGTATATAATAATAATAATAAAGAATATTTAAAAAATCTTGTACTATTTATTTTATATAAATTCATATACATATACATATACATATACATATATATATATACACAAATGTAGATTAATATACAGGGTGACCCATTTTAACTTAGGCAGCCAAATAACTCGAAAAATAAGCACACTACGAAAAAATGGTTAGAATCAAAATTTTGTCATTTCGAGGGGGACGTACAATGACGTTAAAATCAGCCCTCCACCCTCCCCCTGGGCGGTGAGGGGGGGCAAGTTTGAAATCTTAAATGGGAACCCCTATTTTTCATTGCATATTCTTGTAGCTTATCTCGAGAGCTTTCCAAAACACTATAATTAAGTACCTTTTTATTAAGTACTTTTTGAGTTATAAGGCTTGAAATAATTTCTTAATTTTACATAAACCATAAAATATCTAGTAAACCATTCATTTTTCGATTATCTTACCTTCATACTTTTATGTACAAAATAATGAGAGGAATCAATTGGTGTAAAGAAAACACATAGTTGTTTCTAAGAAAAAATATGTAATTTGCAATTAACAATTCCATATTTTTTCTTAAAAACAACTGTATGTTTTCTTTACACCAATTGATTCCTCTCATTATTTTGTACATAAAAGTATGAAGGTAAGATAATCGAAAAATGAATGGTTTACTAGATATTTTATGGTTTATGTAAAATTAAGAAATTATTCCAAGCCTTATAACTCAAAAAGTACTTAATAAAAAGGTACTTAATTATAGTGTTTTGGAAAGCTCTCGAGATAAGCTACAAGAATATGCAATGAAAAATAGGGGTTCCCATTTAAGATTTCAAACTTGCCCCCCCTCACCGCCCAGGGGGAGGGGTGGAGGGGCTGATTTTAACGTCATTGTACGTCCCCCTCGAAATGACGAAATTTTGATTCTAACCATTTTTTCGTAGTGTGCTTATTTTTCGAGTTATTTGGCTGCCTAAGTTAAAATGGGTCACCCTGTATAGACAATTAGTACATATCAGCATTAAATTTTACAATATATGACACACGTATACATATAATCATTGATAAAATTTCTTTTTATTTAGATGAAGTCTTGATTTTGTCCTCTCGTTACATAATCATGCTGCCAATCGACCATTCCATTCGGAGTCAAAATAATTGCAAAGACTGTCCCTAATATGTGTCACATATGCTGCATCATTTTCGTTATTTTCAGTTATTTCATCATTGTTTTCAAATTGTATAATATTACCTTTCTCGTTTCTTAAGAAATTGTGCAAACATACACTTGCTAAAATATATTTATTAATATTTTCAGGAATCGCAGCGATCGGTCTGTTATAAATACCCCACTTTTTTGCCATAATTCCAAAAGTATTTTCTATTATACGCCGGGCTCGCGAAAGCCTATAATTGAATATGTTTTTGCGTTCCCCCAAATACCGTCCAGAATATGGTCGCATTAAATGCTTTCCAAGGGGAAATGCTTCATCCCCAATAAAAAAATAAGGCACTTGTATATCGGTTCCGCTTAAGCAACTGGTTCCTTCTGGAATATCCCCCATTCTACATATTCAAGGCGCTGTTTCCAAAAATTCCCGCATCACAGTTCTTCCCCATAGATCCAATATCGACCAAAGTATATTTATAATTGTGATCACAAACAGCCATAAGTACGATGCTGTATCGTTTGTGATAATTAAAGTACAGCGAACCAGAATTCGGAGGGCATTGAGCATCGACGTTTTCCATCAATTGCCCCCCAAGCAATGTGGAAAATTCCATAATTTCCAAAAACCCTCAGCAATTTGTAAATATTCTTCTCTCGAAGGAGCTTGTAGATAGATTGAACCAAGAAGTCTTCCAAATACATCAGACGTCTCTTTAATTATTTTATGTACAGTTGACAGATCAACACGATAGGCAAAAGCAATTGCTGGAACTTTGTCTCCAATCAGAAATCTGTAACATTATTAATATTATGATATTAATTACCAAATTGTTTTTACATATATGTATTGTTAAGCTATTAATGATCCGATATATACCGCAATGTCAAAGCAATTCGTTGCTCTGGTTCAAGTGCTCGTGGGCTTCGTTTTATTAAGCTTGGATTAACAATATCCATCAAATGCTGGAATGTTGGCAGTGTCATATGTGTATACTTATAGAACATTTCCTGATCTGTTTTTATTTCCTGAAAAAGATTGTAAAAAGCTCCTTGCTGTCTTCTTCTTGTGTTAATTGCTCGTACCCAGACACGTCGACGGCGACGACGTTCACGGTTGATCCTGTCTCTACGACGTTGCACAAAAGTGCTCCCATATTGGCCAAAGTAATTAACAAGAAATCGAAATCATTTCTGTGAAACGTTGAAATGTGAAACTTGTAAAATATAATTTCAGAAATGTGCATACAAAGTAAAATTAACCTCAAAATACTGTTTATGAAACTGAGAATTTACACGAATAATTATATACTGTCATTGTCAGTTTATATTTGTATTACATTGATAATGTAATATAATAATGAAAAAACTTACGTGTTAATCAATATAAATTCGTTTTTTGTTCTTATTTTCTTCTTAAAAACTTTTATTACGATCGGTTACAATAAGTTCTTATGCTTGTGACTATGTATTATGTATTTTTATGTAGATTGGAAATTCAGAAGCCATGGGCAGAATGCAGAAGCCATAGCGCATGCGCTATTCAGAAGCCATGGACAGAATGCAGATACTATAGCGCATGCGCTATGCTTTCTGCATTCTGCCTATGGCTTCTGCAATTTTATGTGCTTCCAGCTTTATGCTTGCCAAGAACGAACTCGCGAAAAAGCAACATAAAGTTGTCCATGATTAAAAACATCTTTGTGAAGATCTAATCCAATTCTATCAAACATCTGTAGTAGTGATATAGGGAGAGTTCTAACCCAGGTCCTCTCAGGGGGGGTGAGGCGCGCGGGGGAATGACGTCACGCGGGACGGAGAGGATTTCGGCAGCGGCGCGTGTTAGATGTTTTATCGCAATATTGTATTACATGCCCGATTGATAAACAATATTGCGTACGAACATGTTCGGTTTATAAATAATATAAACAGCAGCATTTCTTCGAATGGCAACGCGTGCGAGGGAGAGGGGGCGATGGCGCGAGAACAACGCGTGCGAGAGAGAGACTTATAACTAGCGCGAGACTTAGATTAACGCATGGAAGATAACGATACTTATAACTAGCGCAGGGATGGGAACGAAAGGAGAGGCATGCAAAATAAGTAGATTTTTTTTAAAGTAAAATATATATAAAATTTATTTTAAAATGTGTGTGTATATTATACATATTTATGTGTGTGTGTATGTGTATTTAAAATTAAAATTAAAATAAAATGTAAAATATAAAAATATAAAAATATAAATTTAAATTATCTTGAAGATCGCCAGTAAATAAATAAAAGAGGTAGTTAAAAACGATCAGCACTGGCAATATTTATTGAGTTAAAAAATCACAATCACGACGTTTCGACCATAGGTTTTGGTCCTTTTCGAGTGAACTACAAAAAAAAAATTATTTCCAATAATACAACAACAAAAAAAATTAATGATACCAAATTACATAGATGTTCGAGTAAGATTTGAGCAACAAGTTATATATACATACAGTAATTAAATTAACAGTTCTATCGTGAGAAATAAGAAATCACTTCGTCAAGATTATCATGTCACTGTCTCCATTAACACACAGAGAAAGACTAGACAACCTTTATTATTCTATCATAAATATCGTTTAAATTTTCAGTGTCCTTTTGTAAGTTAATCATGTTGTCAAACTTTTTTATATAAAACATTTCGGCAATTTCTCTCTTTCTCACGTGTTTCTCATTGTGTAAAATAGTCGGTGATGACCAATCGAAGTCATGGTTAAATTCCACTCTATGCTTGCTAATAACGGAAAAATTACTTTCGTGCACTTTGATGTTGTTGCAATGTTCTTTTATGCGAGTGCTTACATGTCTTTTTGTTTGGCCGATATATGATACGTTACAATTTTTGCAGTCTAGTTTGTAAACGACTTCCGTTCTGTTATTAATAGGCAACCTATCTTTACCACGTTTAATTAATGAGTTGAGTTTTTTAGGAACATTATAAACGACTTTAAAGCCTATTTTTTTAAAAAAGCGATCAACATCGTCACTCCAGCCGTCAACAAACGGCAAGGAAATGTACGAAGGCGTAGCTGCATTGTCAAATTCATTGTCAGTATCAGTGCTATCACGATGTTTCAAAAAATACAATCTTTTTTGCACATGACGGTTGATGATTTGATTCGGAAAGCAATTATTCGAAAGAATCCGCCTAACAGCGTCGATATTCTTAGCATGAAACCGAGTGTCCGCTAACAAAATAGCGTGGTCAACCAGATTGTAAATGGTATTCAATTTGTATTTCAACGGATGCTTGGAGTGAAAATTAATATATCTGTTGGAGCAGGTGGGTTTCTTGTACCAATCAGTCAGAAGACGACCATTAGATCGGATAACCATCGTGTTCAAGAAACTGATAGAAGAGTCAACCTCGGTTTCATGTGTAAAGGTTAGGCGTCGATGAAAATTATTAAAAGTCGATTTAATCTCTTCAATCTTTGATCGTGAAACAATAGTGAAAATGTCATCGACGTACCTATAATAGATCGGAACATCGAAACTCAGCAGACTCAAACAATGCATTTCCAAATCATCCATCACGATATCTGCCAAGATAGGTGACAGAGGGGAACCCATAGGACTACCAAAAATCTGTTCGTAAAAATTTCCATTAAAAGAAAAACTGGTGGAGTCCAAAACCGTTTCAATCGCGTATAAAAACTGGGCTAAATTCAATTTCGTGTTAGGAGCAATGTGACTCCAACGTTTAGTGACAGCAATTACAATCAAATCTTTAGGGATATTCGTAAACAATGCAGTGACGTCAAGAGAAATCATTACTTCGTCATCCCTGATAGTCTTGTCTTTCAAAAGATTAGCAAACGTCCAGCTATCCTTGATATGCGATTTAGGTTGCAAGATCGAAATCTTTAATATATCGTGAATGTATTGCGCGACATTATATAACGGATTACCTATGGATGACACAATGATACGCAGTGGGTAACCCGACTTATGTATTTTCGGTAAACCGTAACAACGTGGTAAATTGCCATTAGTTGAGTTCAATTTTTTGTAAGTGGATTCATTAATTAACTCATTGCTGCGCCAAGATTTAACAAGAGTATTGATTTTATTTGTTAATTTTCTGATCGGGTCTTTGTTCACTTTTTTATAGGTGGATTGGTCGTTCAAAAGTGCCTCCATTTTCTCCACGTAATCAGTTTTATTCATGACAACAGTGACCTGCCCCTTATCAGTCCTGGTGACAAACAAATCGTCATTATTACGTAGGAATTGTTTACAGAGAGAGAGACTGTCTAGAACATATTTGTCTATAAAGTTGACATGTCTCTTCGCGCGAAGGAATCTATGGAGGGAATTAGCGACAGAATTTCTGGTCATTGCGTTAGCAGTGTCAGGAATACGGTTATAATTGATCTCAAAGTTCTTCAAGGTCTCGAGAACAACGTTGATACGGTCTTTCGCGTGAGACTGAAGTAACGGTAATCCGAAATTGTCACCAAGACTCAGAAGCTCAGAAACCCGATCAGGGATACTCTTGTTACTAATGTTAATCAACCATTCAGTTTTGTCAATATTGTTAAAAGGATTCAAAGCGGTGTCATACTCAACAGTCAAATTCTTAAATTTTTTAATTAACTTAAATTTTATTATACAGTTGATTTTTACAAACTTACGTTCATTAAGATCAAAAAACTTTTTTAATAAATCACATGGTAGACGTTCAGTAAGCCGTCGCTCAATCCTTTCAATATTAGCGCGCAAATAATTTAGATTAAAATTAAGATCCTTGATTTCAAGATTCAATAATATACCACGGTATTTCAACATGGTTTTTTCAAAAGTGCGATTAACACTCCTACTATGAAACGTGATATTAGTTTTTAAATTATTGATGTGTGACGAAATTAGATCGTATCTCCTGCATCGAAGTAAGAAAATGAGTTGTTGTTTGGCCGTGCAGATTTTCCTTTTAGTGTTAATCCATGACTTCAACAAGGTAGTGTAACTTTTGCCAAACCGATTAGTAATCATTTGAAAAAACATATCAGATTGCAAAGACTCCATAATTAGATCCAGGAGCGTAAATAAATTTAAATTATCTTGAAGATCGCCAGTAAATAAATAAAAGAGGTAGTTAAAAACAATCAGCACTGGCAATATTTATTGAGTTAAAAAATCACAATCACGACGTTTCGACCATAGGTTTTGGTCCTTTTCGAGTGAACTACAAAAAAAAAATTATTTCCAATAATACAACAACAAGAAAAATTAATGATACCAAATTACATAGATGTTCGAGTAAGATTTGAGCAACAAGTTATATATACATACAGTAATTAAATTAACAGTTCTATCGTGAGAAATAAGAAATCACTTCGTCAAGATTATCATGTCACTGTCTCCATTAACACACAGAGAAAGACTAGACAACCTTTATTATTCTATCATAAATATCGTTTAAATTTTCAGTGTCCTTTTGTAAGTTAATCGTGTTGTCAAACTTTTTTATATAAAACATTTCGGCAGTGCACGAAAGTAATTTTTCCGTTATTAGCAAGCATAGAGTGGAATTTAACCATGACTTCGATTGGTCATCACCGACTATTTTACACAATGAGAAACACGTGAGAAAGAGAGAAATTGCCGAAATGTTTTATATAAAAAAGTTTGACAACACGATTAACTTACAAAAGGACACTGAAAATTTAAACGATATTTATGATAGAATAATAAAGGTTGTCTAGTCTTTCTCTGTGTGTTAATGGAGACAGTGGCATGATAATCTTGACGAAGTGATTTCTTATTTCTCACGATAGAACTGTTAATTTAATTACTGTATGTATATATAACTTGTTGCTCAAATCTTACTCGAACATCTATGTAATTTGGTATCATTAATTTTTTTTGTTGTTGTATTATTGGAAATAATTTTTTTTTTTTGTAGTTCACTCGAAAAGGACCAAAACCTATGGTCGAAACGTCGTGATTGTGATTTTTTAACTCAATAAATATTGCCAGTGCTGATCGTTTTTAACTACCTCTTTTATAAAAATATAAAATATAACGATATAATAAAATATAATTATAAAAAAAATATATAAAATTAATTGGGGGGGGAGGTGCGCCGGTTCAGGGGGAGGTGGCTCCTGTAACAGAAAAAAGATATTGAATTAATACAAGTGTAGTTAGAGAGAGTTAAGATTTAAAAAAATAGTACTTACAATGTTTTAATGTGTGCACATGGGGCACATGTCGCACGGTAATATTTGAATCAGTGATTTCCTGCACTCTTTGCAGGATATATTGGTTAAATATTGATAATTTGTGCAGCGATGTTCCCGTACAGCACTAGCTTCCAGAAATAAAAACGATAGTCTTAGGAAGCATTCCGCACAATATTTCCGTCCACTTTCCACATAATAGAACGATATGCAACATATTTTTATGGTATCGTTCAT